AGCCATATGCTGCCCTCTCTTGGGCTATGTCGTTTTCGCAAATCGGTCGAATAATTCGAAAGTACGATATTTCTCCGGTCCTAGTGTAGTCTATGATTGACAGTACAATAATAACAGCGATTACGACAATATTGAAGCAACGGCTGACTTTGTTACCGGGTATAACTGGGGGATTTCCCCTCTTATCCTCGGACACCCTAACCGCCCTTAACTCACTGAATTAGTTTCGCAAATTGAAGAATTTCGGCGTTATTTCCACTCCACCTCTTGCTATTCTCTCTTTCTCTCTCATTCTCTCCGTTGAAACGGTAACTTATTGTATGAATACAATATTAGAACACGGTCTTTCAGTAATCCCTGGCACACGTTGAATCTATATCCATGAACACTGCTGTATAATAGTACTAGCAAAAATATACTACTTTTTTGAGTTTGCTTGTTTTTTCACAAATCTACAAAAACCAGCGCAACGTCAGTGTGTTGCGCGACAGATAATCTGGAAAAGTTTTTGCATAACCTCGAATAACCATCAAATGTTTTCCAAATTACCTCGACACGTAACACCCTCCGAATAACCTTAATGACTGTATAACTACAATACAGCGTCATTAGACTTCCACTTATTCCTCCATTCAAACAACCACATCAAGAAGAAACTTTTGTCAAATCACTTTTCAAAAGCTTTGCGATTCCAAAGATTCTGATCGTTGTGCAAGTTGAACAAGTATTCTTATACTCGTAATATGTAGTTGACAATAGTGCATCGAACGTAGCGATAGTCGTCCCTTCGAAGTGAACGATACAAATTCACGAGATAACTCGGGATGATCGAATAAAAAGGAAAGAACACAAGATAAGATCATCGTTTTGCATCTCCTTTTCATTTCCTGCCGCCCCCGCGTCTAACATCGTTTGCCATCCCCCTTCTCTATTTATCATCCGACTACTCATCTGCTGACTTGTTATTAAATTAATCCTTCGTTTAGTCAAATTGATGCATTGATATCATAGAGCACTCATAACTCACAGCACCCTTTCCGACACGATTAGTACACGCGCGGCCGTTTTCACGCGCGACCCCTGATCCGATGAGCTGAGGGGGGCACCATTCTGCAATTCCCTATTTGTGCCGATGCAGACTCCACTATTTATTAACATCATTACTTATCATTTCAACCACTCGTGCATCACGGTGACGTCACCGAGATAAATGCATCCTATTGGCGGACAGGCGACGCGAGCTTTATTTAATGGTCACCAGTGAATGCTTGGATCGATGAGCAGCGTGCTCCTTTCCAATCAGTGTCCCGTCGCGAAGGAACATCACAATACTATTTGCTCAAAGATCGACTGGTTTAAGCGGCGTTTCGATCGCGAGCGTTTCTATCATTTCGGAATTTGCCACTATCCATTACGAGTACCTACTTACATATTCTCCTAGTATTGTGAGTCGAATAGAATGCGAAACGAACATTGCTGATAATTACTCGTATACGTTTATTCACGTGTAGAATTGCAGTCGCGTTTCCATTGATACGTACGTAAATGGAATACTGATTCGAAATGACGCAACGCTGTAACTCAATTACCTATAGTATTTTTGTTCATATTTGGAAAAAAAAGGTCGTTCGTTGAAAATAAAAAGTGTCCTAGGTTTAATGAAAATGAGACTTCATCTCAAAATATGCATATCTACCACTTTGCATATTATATGATTTTCAAAATACCGTTTCGTGTACTTGAATATTCATGCACCGCATTACAGGTTAACAATGAACCTTCGATTTCACGAGAATAAATAAAAAGATTAATTTTCCGAGAAATGGTAAAACTGAAACGTACCTCTAACAACAGAAATGCTCCACGATGGTTTATCATCGAAAAGTTTGATTCGATCAATCACGGGAACCGACAGCGGGCAAATCGCTGGCCACGCGTAATTAGTATACGCGATAGAGACGTTGATGGCCACGGAAGTTTTATTTTCCGTTTCCTCCTCCGAGCGTTTTCAATTTGAATACCGATTAATCTGACCGAATAATCTTACCGTATATTTCGCGCGGTCCTCCGATATTCGTTTGAGGGCATTTTTTTAAAACTAAACGTTTCACTTTATCGTGCCCGCGCAGCAATTAATAATAACACTGCAATCGGGCGTATCTTTTATAACCTTTCGGAGTATAAATCGCGAAATTCTGGAATTATCAGGCAGCCGGAATGAAAGGCTATTTCCGTCGCACCGGAATCACGGGCAATATTTTACGTGGGATTGGGGTTGAACGCGGACACATCGACGTTTGATATTTTTATGCAGTGGCGCCACCGCGGAGAGATTTACGAGGCAGATATGCGATCACAAAATGTCCGACACTAAATCAAACATGTTGCATCGGAAAACATCAGAAATTATTATTGGGACTTTTATGGGATCGACGGGAGTGAAAGGAACGTACAATGTAACTCGACGCGCCGTTTCATTGCGAGTATCTCTTGGAGGATCTATCGCGGAATAAATCGTGATATATTAGGCCCTCCGTTCCCTCGGTTTTATATCGCCGTGGAAGAAAATGTTATGGCCACTCATTGAGCCGCGCGTTATACGGCTGTATTGTGAACGTCAATGTTGCAATAATAATAATATGAATCACCTCTTTACTATCAGAATTAAGACGGGATTTCTGTTACGTCTCATTTAAAAGTTTATTCCTTCTATTTATTATACCCAACATAAAATTCACGGTTACAATTTTTTCTGACAGAAAGAACTCGTGCATATATCTACGAATGTATCTTGTCAACAATCGTTAATCATTCTTAATGGAAAATGAAAAAAGATAAATTTGACTAAAAACAATACTACAAATTCATATGTGTACGAGATAAATGATTTATTAAAGGGTTACCCATTTATGTGTCGTTAATGTTTGCATGAGGTGGTAGAAGTTTACAGTACTTAAATACATACATTTTAAATGAACACAAAAAAGAAATAAAATTATTGTTTATTTTGCTAAGAGAATGTTTACTTTAATTAATGAAATTATAGTTTTTGAAAAGGAACTTGAATTAAAGCACCACCAACTTATATATCATTTTCTTATATTTCGCTTTATTAATGTATGAAAATGAGTCTTATTGCAAAAGTAAGGTTACTGTTTAAAATATCGGTTACGATTAAAAATATCAGTTTCCAAAATAGAGTGCGCTGTGTTACAGTTAAGATGAATGTTAACGTCGTCGGTACATCAGTTTTAGTTAAATAGATCCCATAGGATAACAGATTCTTATGTAGACACATCGCTACATCGTTAACATCAACTCCTGTAAAAAATTAAATAATGCCTATTATATTATTATAATAAATTATAAAATTACAATAAACGTGTTACGTTTTATGTCTATTACTATGAAGATTTATAAATAATTGAAAAATATGAAAAATGTGTTGAGAACTAACAAGTAGCCGTTTCAATGGAATAAAATCCGTCGTATTAGAGCCGCTCTTATACTACTAATGAAGGAACACAAGTTTTCCTTCCTTCCATCCCCTTCTTCTACAGCCCTTTCATTCTTTATCCTTAGAAGAAATAAAGGCGGAGTCGTAACAGTGGGATGATTAATATCCAGCTGACAGTTTGTGAAACGGGCAGCCAATAAACGGGATAAAAATACTGGTGAAAAATAGCGCGCTCATTAGGGGTACAGTGACATCTGCGACTGCTGTGTCGAAAGTCTTCGAGGAGTGTAGGAAAAGGTGCCTGGATGAAGGGAACAAAGAAGACAGGTTTATTAAAGTAATGGCGGATCATTTTAATATTCCAATGGGAACGCGTTACATTCGCTGACTTGTGGAACTTAATAACATTTTTTTTAACGGTATTATCACCTCTCTTTTTCTAATATCTTTAATAAAACTTAAATTTCGCACAATTAAAAAAGCATATGAAATCGAAGAAGAAATGGGTTTACGACATTTTTTAAACGTTTATTTCTTTTTTGCATCTTTACAAAATGTATGACAAATTATTTCTTTTCATAAAAAAGAATGTATAAAATATGATATGACATGAATGAAAATAAACGAATATTCAATTTGGTTATAGCTAAAAACATGGTATTATGATAATTGTTTCAAAGAAAATTTTGATATATCAGAAAGACATATTCTACTTTACTAAAATATAATGCAATAATTTTGATAAGTATTTGGTAAAAATTATTTTTTCATGTTAGTTGTTAAAAATACTTCATTTAAATAACAGACTATTTCATTAATTTTTTACATTTTTAAATTAGTTTTTAAATTAAAAATAAGTTAGCTTCATAGATGGCGTTGCAGATCCTACTATTTGTGTCAAATGGTATACGATGACACCTATTGAAAGAAGCACTGTCTTTATTAGTACTTTTTTTTACTTGTAATAGTGATAAATAAATAGACTGCATAATAAAAATTAATATATCTTTTGCCATATTTGTATTTTTCTTTTTGTCAAAGAAATGGTTGACGGTAAGTCACTTATTCTACTACTAAATATAACCTGATACAGTGTTTGATCCCTTCTACATTTCTGGCAAAATTAAAAATTAAAATTTACTTAATTTACAGAAGAGGTGATACGTCGAAGATTACTCATAGATGGGGATGGAACTGGAGATGATCGTAGAATTAATATGCTTTTAAAATCATTCATAAAATGGGCAAATAGTCCAGATGTAGATAATACTTTGCATGAAAGAATGTTATCACAACTTGCCCAGTGTGAATTTGCCCAACGAAAATCCAGATTAGTCTCAAATATGAGTCAAGAAGAATTAAAAAGTTATGAACAATTATCACAAGAAATTGAAATTCAAATAGAAGAGGCTAAGAGAGACATAGAAAAAACAAAAGCTGAACTACAAGATGCAAAACGTGTTAGGAAAAATAGAATTGAGTATGATGTACTGGCAAAAGTTATAAGCGAACAACCAGATAGAGTAGAAACCAATTTGAAGCTTGCCACCTTACGTGAAGAATTAGGCAAATTGAAGGTAAAAAAATTTATACCATATCTTATAAAATTTTGTTTTTTGTTGTGACATTGTAGAAATTAATGTGTGAATATGTTGAAATATAGGAAAAGTCTGAACTGCTAGAACTTAAATTGGAAATGAGACGCAAACAGTTTCATGTTTTAATATCTTCCATACATTCTTTACAAGGAATGTTAGATGAGGGTGATGAGGAAATAATGGATGTGAGTTTGGAAAATTATGAGGATACAGATACATCAACACCTTCTAAGACTGAAGCATCTTGAAATAATAGTATTTTATAAAATGTTTATTAATTTTATAAATGCCTTAATACACCAAAGTAATTTTCTTTACTATTATGTTGTACATGTATTGTAACGAAAAAAAAAAATATTGTTTACCGAGGTTTTGTATTAAAATTTGAAAAACTTAATGACAAATTATATGTAAGAATTATACACATAAAAATATACTATCCAATTTTTAATTTTAATTTGCTAGTTTTTGGAACATGCCTTATGGTTAAAGACAATCTAATTCCCCGTTTTAACGTTTGTCCTTCTGAAAACCTTTCTCCACATATATTTAAATTTTTTATCACAGACTTTGTAACAACATCTGTATCAGTCTCTGCTATTGAATGCAAATAATTATGATATAAATCGCCTTGGAGAATAAACAGACTTCTGCGCTCTAAGAGGAAACTAAACTTTAAATCAGGTTGATGTTGCTAAAACAAAATTTTACAAGTAATTTATATTTGAATATATGCAGCTGCACTATGGATATAATTATTACAACCTCTGTACTGTTGACTCGTTTATAAAAATCTAGGAGTGTATGTGAGCCACAACTAATGGTTGTTACAATAGGGTGAAAAAGTGGGCCATCTGAATGTGCCTGATAAATATTACATTTTACTTTGTATGTATTGCTTCATATTTTATATTGTAATAACATGAAATGCATAATTTATGATTATACCATTATTCCTTGACCAGGTAGATATTCATTAATTAAAACATGATTAGGTAACTTCTCTTTTTCAAATACATTATAGGATGATACTTGGTTAATATATTTTTGTAGCCACTGAAAACTTATTATTACACTTTTATACAATTAATATTTTTTAAAATGTAATTGTACATATTACTACAAAATACTTACACCTGGTATTTCTTCTGCTATCATGCCTTTTGGATGTGGAATACCACCCCAGTTTTGCAATCTGCGATGACTTAATTGTGTCCACTTTGGCAGAGGAGCTTTATTAACATGTTTCACTATCTCATCCTCTTCCTTTTGTGTAATAAAATTTGGTATATAAATAGCTAAATCAGGAACCTGTGGTAAATGAACGATATTATTGTTTTTTAAAGAAAAATAAAACATAACCTTAAGAAAAAACGTTAAAACAAACCTCTGAAATTATATTTTCATGAAAAACACGTTTACCCTCTTCCATTTCGCAATAAGTGCTATAAAGTAAATAAAAAACTAATTACAGAATAATTAGATACTAGTTTATTATTTACTTAGTGGGTATTATTTTTAAGCGCTAGTTTTGTACATGTTCTATTATAACATACACATCTGCAAATAAAATTATGTACAGGATTTTTAAATAAAATAAACTTCTATTTTAACGAAATTTTAATTTTATTGAATTCCTCTTAATTTCCATGCTTTTCAAACATTATCGATATTATACATGTATATTTGCGTAATTAAACGAGAAGCTTTTGTTCTTAAATTTCCGAAACTTCATACATGTTTGATCTAAGAAAACTCACCCTTTTTGGTACGATAACCATATGCATTTGATGTTTGTTAAACGGAATTTTTTTTAATTAACATTAATGAAAATAAATTAAGAGTTACCGTTTTTACATCGAAATACGATTTTTTTATATTTCGTATAATGTTAAAAAATATTGTTTTACTAAATATGTAAACGCAAACAGTACAAATCCCTTAGCGATGCGTTTACGTAAAATCAATTTTATGGAAGGGAATATCCTTCACGCAACTGTATGTAAAACGCAAGTCCCTAATAAATATATACATAGCGATCTAGAACGCCCTTAATTTTCATTGTTAAATTTATGTAATATCGCGTGATTATTTTAATAAAAAAAGGGACAAAATGGATAACCAGACAATAGATCAGATGGATAACAGGGAATTAAAATTTGTTCATCAGGTATATCCTTAAAATTATTGTATTCTAAAAGAAATCATATTTTTTATACATTACTTCAACGTTTAATAAAATACTTATTATTTTATGTGTATAAATGTAAAAAATTTTATAGTTTCTTATACATCATAATTTTGAAAATACTGCTGATGCATTGATGATTGAAGCTAAAATAAAAGGTTTTAAAGATTTTAAAACAGACTTGAAAACCAAAGATGAGATTTATGAATATTATTATGAACAAATAATGTTAAGTTACAGAAATGGAGACTGGAAGGCATTCTTCAAAGTATGCCAAACATATCTTTTAAATATAATAAAGATACATTTTTGAGAAAGAAGTATATAGTTTCTAAGAATTTTTCATTTCTAGTTGTGGAATTTGTTAATACCTGAAAATGCTATGCAAACAAAAGCTTGTAAAATTTTGATGTTACATTTGTATGTGTATTTTGTAATGCTACCTAAACGTGTGTTACTATTACATTGGTATAAAGAAAAAGGTATAATATAGTAGTAAATAAGTATAGAATAAATATAAACTGTATGTATTGAATTTATATTAATTACTATGTATGGAATTATTTAGGTAAAGCAGAATCAAACATAGGTGATTCTATGGCAACACTGAGTCCACATGATCCTGAATTCGAAGAGGTAATTTCAATCAGTTTTAATATAATTGTTTTTTTTTTTAGTTCATGTCATATTTATTCTGTTTTCATTCATTAACATTCTTTTTTTTTAACATTATTAACATAAATAGTTGGACAAAACAGTAATGCATTTGTAGTGACTGATTTAACATTAATAATATACAGAATTTTATGACTGAAATAGAGAAGAATATGAATGATAGTATGGAACAGTTACGCAACTTTCTAAATACGACAGGTAAAGAATTAGAAAATGAACCAGAATTACGAGTTTATTTTGCATTACCCTTTATTGAGGATCCATATACAGAACCATTTCTTTCTAAAATATTTGAACAAAGTTGGACAGATGAAATGACTGAAAACTTACAGGTTCTTCTTGAAACATATAAACCTCAAGTAAGTGATCAGTTCAACAAGAGCAATGGAGGATCTTTATGTTAAAAAATATTTTATAAAGCTTTATGCAATTTTCAGATTTTTAGCGATATAAAATACACTGATGAAAATTCAAATAAATTTCCTTCAAATTACACGCCCGTATCAGAAAAACCGAAAAGTGATATAGTTGCGAATAAAACGATCAACAGCAATAATATACCAATCATACCAAATGATAGAAACATCCCAATGTTTCTTGAAGATGGTGAAACTGATGAACAGTACAATTCATATGGTAATATAAAGTATAGTCAAAAATCAAAGTAAGAAGTATCTTCAATATTTTTCTGACACAATATTTTTCAGCATTTTACAGACAATAATTTTTGTTGTTCTTTTTTTATAGAAGTATACAAACTGTATCAATGAATTCTTCTGAAGAAGATATGTATTCATCACATTTTACCAAAAAGAATAAAAAATTACTACAATGTACCCAAGAATTGGCTGTAGCTAAATCTCATTTGTGCAGTGTTCACTCTAATTATGAAAAAGTGAAAATTAGATTTCATAAACTGCATACTGACTATCATAAGTTGATGAATATTGCAAAAGTATTAACAACAGCTTTGGAAAATTCAATAAAAGGTCAAGTGATCGATTTCCAAGATATACTGGAATCTTGCATAAAAATCTTTCCAGATTTATTTAATCAAAACGTAAAAGATACTTCACATGTATGTTTCTTATATTTTTATTATTTTATTATTTAATTCAGAAACGTTTAAATGACATAATTTTGTTTATTGCACACGCACAGTTTTCGTCGGAATTACTATTAGATAAATCTCGTTCTGACATAAACATCATTGAATATTCTGAGTCATACAGTACATTCGTCCCACCAAAATTATTGGATTTCAAGAAGATTAAGTTGCATTTAATTAATGGAAGCATGAAAACAAAATTGTTCCTTTTACAAGCATTACGAAGGGTAAGAGAAAATGATCAATATCTGATGGTTTATAAAATTGTCATAAACGAATAATATATATTGTAGAAAATAACATTTAGTCAACCCGGAGAACGAGATGAAACGGTGCGCGAGTACATAAGCAAAGATTTACTGGGTCTTCATAGTCAAATCGTTAATTACAAAGGCAAATCTATCTTGCCATATTTATTAACTCCACAAAACGTTGTTATACCACATCCTTTGCAACAATCAATTATGAGATTATTGAACACTTTGGCATCATTCAGATGTGGAAGGGATTATCTATCATTTGATTCTACCGTTGTTGACATGGTATATACGGCAAAATTTTGTATTTAGTGATGAAAAAAGGAATATAAAATAATAAGACAAATATTCCAGGTATTCAAGTGCCTGAATAGTACCTGTGATATTAATATAGACACCTTGACCTGCAATATGATAATTGCAATGCTGCAGAAGTTATCGCTACGCAAGCAGCAGAGAATATATATGATAGAAAATGGATTAGTGGAATGGTTGATTCGTCATTTACATAATCAGTATCGTATTATGGATTCCTATCGATTGGAATACGCTACGGCCCTTTTGATGAATTTGTCGCTCCATCAAGTAGCTCAAAAGAGAGCATCAGCAATGGCGTCTTTGCTTATTTCAACTCTAATCGATTTGCTCTTAATGGATCATGCAATGGTATGATGAATTGTTTCTTTTTTACTTTTCGTAATTAAAATTAGTTATGATGTACATTTATGCCAGGCATTGCCGTATATTAATGGAACTTTGAACAATTTTTTGACGAATCACGTGATCAATGAAGAAGCGAAAAAGATGAAATTTTCAGCCGTATTAGAACAGTATAGTAAATATAAAACTGGTGAAATAAGGTAAAATATTTTTGTTAATACACTATGTGTAAGCTATGTTATTTGAAATAAAAATATTTCGATAAAATTATTTATCGAAATAATTATAGGAAACACTTGAATCATATTATGAGGATACACAGAGGTGAAATTACCATTAAAATGGAAGACGAACAAATGATAGATAATGATAATGTAGGTGAAGATTGTATTAATATTGTTTACTCTTTCACGAAGAATTAATTCTTTTTCGTTACAGGAGCAATTTGATGTATTGGAAAATCAACTGGATGAAAATGATCCAGTAAAAAATAATTACGCAGAATTGTGTGGGGAGTCATTGTTAGAGTCGTGTTATACGATCTCGTCAAAGATAGTCCAAAAGAAAGAAATAATCTCAGACGTAGCTTCGTTTGCAGAATTAAAACCGGACACGATAAATGCTGTGCAAAATAATCAAGTTAAAAATTTATATTCTCAGCATGAATTGATTGGTGAAGAAAATTTATCAAGGTATTGTTACAGCAATTTAATTATAAATATTTGTTAATTCACAAATTTACACGTATCTTTGATATTACGAAAATTATGGTACTTTTCTCGTATATTTCAAGAAAATCGATAAACAAAAAGCATGATATCAGAAATAAAAGTAGCGATATGGTAATTGAAGATTTTGTTAAAAAAGTGGTACCATATTCAAAACTGCAATTGCATGCAACTGAATTAAAATCTTCTTCAATTAAGGTATTTAATGAAAAATCATGTGTCGTGTATATATTTCTAAATTAAAATTCGTGTGATACTTTTCAAGGATCGGCAAATTTCTAAAAAGCAAATCATGAACGATAAATGGAATTTGATAGATAAGATTTCCATCAAAAAAGCTTACAACGAAAGCGCCACGTACCTCTATGAAAATCAAATTGCCAAGTTCGTTGTTACTTTGTTCATACAAAACTGACACAACCAGATGTTTAAAGTAAATTTTTTTTTTATTACAGAGAAAGCAGTAAAACGATCGTAGCATCTTCGGTGCTTCTAGGAATTGGTAGTGCAGCTGAATCAACAGGTTGGAATCCATTATACAGTTTCATTGTTTTCACTTTATTAAAAAAGGGGCACGCGATGAGTAATTAGTTGTTTACAAATTTCTAAACCGCTTACCGCGTTTGACAAGTAAAATATATTGTAAGCACTGTACAGTGAAAGCTTTATAACTTTCTCTCAAACATATATATTTGGTCATGATGGGAAAATTGGAGCAAGCAAATGAAAGTAATGAAGTCTAGGATGAACCATATTTATTGACCATATAATTACGTGAAATTGCCATTTTTCTTTTTCTTTTTCATTGGAATAAATTTAAAGTTATAAATCTTATAATTACTTTAAAATTTGTATTTTTTCAGTAACGGAGAAAATCAGCAGTATAGCGTCACTGTGAGTCAAGATTTCGATGTGTCACAAACGCACCGTGTAGTCTCTTACCTAGTTACTCACCATTATACATATATTTTTCTATCAAGATTTTACACGTTTTTATACATCACTTGAACTTTCGAATAAATTGCACGTTTTGTTCGCCATTATTAAGCTTCTCAATTGAAATATAGAGATTATCGTTCGAAAGTTGAATTTTCTTTATAGAAATATCGAGGGCAACGATAAAATTGCAAACGATAGTATTCCATGGTCAGAGGAGACGGAACTCGACACGGAAGAAGCATTCTTAGCCAAGCCAAAGCTTCTACGGACTCCGCCGTGAATAAAATGAAATCTCAGGCATAAAACAACAGGAACAAATGTATACCTGTATCACTTTCTTAATAATTTTATTTTAAACGACATACAGATAACAATATATTTAATTAACATTAAATATTTCATACAATAAATATGTACAAAACGTAACATAACATGCCGTCATCACATCTCACGTCTCGTTAAAAATAATATTAGAAATAACCAGAATATGTGCTACCATGTCCAGGTACATAGCTACTGCTTCGGTATCTTCTCAATAAGGGACCGTCGGTATAACTGTTACCACTGAAACTACTGTGTAAATTGGACATCGACGAGTAACCTACTGGAGAACTGCTAGGATATGAGCTGATATAGCTTGGTTTGCTTTTGTAACCACCGACGAGCTTGCTGAGATACGAGGGTCCACCAACATAAGGTTGTCCACCATAATTACTTGGCCTGCTGTCTTTAATTGAAGCCAGCTTTCCGCTACCTTTACCATATTGACTAAGCAAGTAATCAACATCTTGCTCCTTGGAGAGATAGTTCAAACTTGCAGTGGGACCATACTCGCCCATGTATTTGTTGTATTTACTGAATTTCCCAGAACCATACGGACTAGGGCTGGCTCGTACACTGCTGAAGGGACTACTAGCAGAATTAGATAGGAGCATAGAAGAACCATAATTATGCCCCATGTTTCCATGACTTCCCCTCACATAACGTGTCTCAGGATGAAGGGAGTACACATCATTCATGAACTTAGTGCTTCCTGCCACTCCAAAGGCACCATCCTTATATTTTCCGTATGAGTAATCATTACTAGGACTATTGAATAAGTTTGAGGGCTCTCTGTTGTAGGATTGATCACCACCATCCACGAATCCTGCAGTATGTGTTGTTTGACTCCTAAAAGAGTCACCTGAATAATCTCCTCTGAATGAAGAAGTATCTGTAGTTAACTCAGGATAGCTTCCTGTGCTGGAGGCTCCAGGCAGATTATCAGAATATCTCGTGTAAGTGGGACTTTTAGCCTTGCTGGTGGAGAACTGACTGAAATCAGACCCTGCCTGATCACTACCCTGAGTATAAGCCTCGAAACTAGAATCTCCATTGTTACTGCTGCTTGTGTAGCTATCATAGCTGGATTGAGCAGCATTGTAGTAGGGACTAGTGGCCAGATTATCACGACTAGCAGTGGAGTAACTGGAGAAGCCAGTATTGTGGCTACTGGGAGAAAATCCGCTGTAAGAGCTACTCCTTAAACTTTCTTCGAGATTTCCTTGGCTCCTGCCGTTAGACACAGCGTGTCCACTACTTCCTACGGCGTAGAAGTCCGTGTTTTCTCTGTGACCTTCTTTCCCGGGCATGTAGGTCCCCCCGCTGATCACGTTGCTGTTGTACTCGAAGCCATTGTTATCCCCGCTGATGGAGTAGCCTGTAAGAAATTCATAAAAAGAAATAAATTAAGAAAATTTTATTCATATTGATAATTGTTATAAAACTGGAGAAACATTTGTGTAACGTATAGTATAACTGAAGAATTATTTTTTTATTAAGAATTTGTCCAATTTGTTACTATGTATCAAGACATGAAAAGATATGTTAATGAACACTGCTTTAATCTTGAAAGGAGCAGAATGAATTGCAACGCTTTTTTTAGCAAGGAAGCACCAGCGAGATACGTACTGTTAACCGGCGATTCTGCGCGAGCTAGCAGGATGCAGCTGAGGATCACTGAACTCTAAAAGTGGAACATTTTTATCGTAAATTAATGATCACCTTACAGCTGTGAATAATCTTCCTACTTAAAACGTGAAACATTGGTATATTTAAAAAAAAAAACTAATAATACTCTAAACTGATAAAAAAAAAAAAACAAATAGGTTAATAAAAACAAAAAACAATCTTACAAAGAATTTAATTACAAATTTGAATTCCACGTATTGCACAAGAATTGCTTTTTACAACCTATTCGGTACTCACGAGCGAAATGATTTTCGCCATGACAAAAGGAAGATCCCAAAAGGTCTTGTCTATCTAAACAAACCACCGAGTATCTCAGGTAAATCAGAAACAACACACATATACTGACACGCGAATCGGCTCCTTACCGTTTTATACTCCTAGGAATCCCTCCTCGCTCACAAAAAGGTAAAAGCGATCTTGATGTGCACATACTGATAGGACATTGGTTGGTACCCGACCATACAGAGCAGGGAGAAAGAGTCAACCTGATTTAACTCTTCACTTTTACGGGGAAAGCAATGGGTCAGTCCTCGTGCAGCTGACTATTCAGTGAACTATGAAGAGCATGACCTACCTAGCGTAATTAGACTTTTTAATGCATATAGAAAAAGTGTCCCTTTCACAGAACTCCGGTTCGGCTGTTCGAAACGTAACAACGACCTTGTTTATTACACCCGTATACAGGGTGTCCCGTTGGGATCAGTCCTACTACCTTTGGAACATGGATATAGAAAAAAATAGAACAAGATAAAATAGAATATAATATAAGATTCTTTATTTTGAATAAACTGTATAGTACATGTTTCTTTAAGAATAAATATTTTAAGTATATTCCCTGTGGGGTAAAATGATGCATATGTGTAATGTAAAAGTAAACGTAATACTCATCGCGTCTTGGACTGCGATTAACACAGATCAAGAGGCTGCGGTGCAGTCAGTAAATCGCGAGCTTTCGTAAAAATGTTGCCCCGATTTCTATGCATTACCATTGCCAAGGTTAACAGATATTTGTTACGGTGGGTGGATAACTTTCCTCTGACGAGAAAGGAAGCCGCGTTACGTCTTCCTCCGTATTGCGAATACAATAATTTCCAGTAATTGGTAATATGCACGTTGCTCGTTATTCTTTCAATTACCGAGTAAAATTGGCCCCGTTTATTTCGCTGTTGCTTTTTTCCTCGTTAAAAACGACACAAGTTTAAATAGACACTTTTTACGATGAACACTTAAGGAGAAGAAAATAATTATTGTAATTAAATTTTCTAACCTTTTTGATTCGTCTCATATAAGAAGTATAATTTAATATACATAAATGCTTTGATGAATGAAACAGCGTTTAATACATGACACGCGAAGGAGCATTTAAAGGAATATGAGTAAAGTTGAATAACCTTTGCACAAGATTATTGTTACAACGTTATTCACGGGATTTACACGCGATATTTACGGAACCCATTTAAGACGTGACGTGGTTTCATTTCAAAGCACGCTCATAGAAAATACCCAAGAATATCTCCCATCGGGGA